ATGAGCATTGAAAGTTTCAGTTAAAAAAATTGCATCGAATAAATTACAATCGAATAGAATAAATTTAGTTACAATAAAAATTCATTATTTCTAAGTCAAAAATATATAAGTTTCGGATAAGTAATCACCACCATATCACATACTAAAATCTTCTCCGAAACACGCTGCATCTTATGGTATAAGTATTATTCCGATCGGTTCAGTAGTTTTCACAGTATAACTGAACGAAAAAACGGGCTCCCCATTTATTAGTATAGATTAAACAAACTTCCAAAATACAAATTAAGTTCTAACAAATTTTAAAAATTAATAAATTTATAAATGCACAAAAAAATTATTTATGAAAAAATCGGTGAAATTAGACGCATACTCTTTCAAGTTTGTCACTCCTCTTTAAAGTGTCTTGATTTACCTTTTGTCGTTTTCCACTCGCTCAGTGAATTCATTAAATAATAATTTTTAATCGTGTAATTTCGTAAAGTCCTGCATTATATATAGATAAAGCAGAATCCTGTCGAATCGATCTACTCGTTTCTAAGTACCGGAGAAAAGCGGTTAAAGAGAATCAGGAATAATCTATCAACGAAATAAATAAAGTTAAAGTTAAAAAATGTTGAATCAAGTTCTTCCTTTTCATTGAAGCTTTTTTATCTTTTCCTTTTCTTCTTGCTCTACTTTTTTTCATCAGCTCTTTGACGATTATTTTTTACTTTTTCTTGTATTGAGATAAAAGATTTACCTCAACAACCTTTCATATCGGATCACATCGGTGTGATAAACTAAAATAAAATTATAATTTTATTTTTATCTCGTTAAGTCCAACGAAACTGTTTTTAAAAATAATAACTTTTATTTTGTTTTCTTTTTTTTTCTATTTTAAATCATAAAAATAAATGATTCAATATCTGTTCTCGTATCTCTACTTCCTTTACCGTCAATTGGAACGGCAATTAACGACACGATTGTGGATACATTCAGCACACATTTATTTGGCTAATCAAACGGAACCTGTCGCCACTGAGCGCTATCGCCGTCCCGTTATCGAATGATTTATAACTTTGACTTTTTTTCAATTTTTTTTACAATAAATTTTTTTGTTCAAAAATCTTAACAATAAATTCGATAAGTCTACAAATAGATATCTTAAATAAATATTTATAATGAAATAAAATAAAAAACTTATTCGACCAAAATTTTAAACCGAAATAGCCCTTTATTTCAACTTTCGAATTTTAATTTTTGAATAGCCGGCCTATACATGAGAAATGACATATTCTGGTAGAAGCATACAACCGCGTCACCCTTTACTGACTTTCAGCGATAATCGATTTTTTTTTTTTTTTTAAATTATATTTTATTGATTCTTACTATTTTTCCAATTACATTTTTCAATTATAATCAGCTTATAAATCTTTAATTAATAATTACTGGTCCATCGTTGGGCTTTAACTTATTTTAGATTTCTACATATATAAATTAATATTAACAATATGTGTATGTATTTATTTATTTGTGACTTCTTAGGGAAAAGTGGGTAAAAAACCCTATTTAGGTTTCGTTATGTTGTGGAAATATGTTGGAATAAATGTACAATTATAAATATATAAGCTTTATTATCGCTATGTTCACTCGCGGAATTAATGTATATTTAAAAAAAACACCCAATTTGTCTGATCAAAGGGTAGAAAGTAGTGGTATTACTGCCAGTCGAGTTATACTAATTACAATTAAATAAAAAAATATCTAGAGCTGGAATTTTCAAAAGTGTTCAGCGCATTAACCATATGAAAGGATTATAAAATAAATTAAGTTGATTCGTCGTATTTGTTAAAAGTTATAGTGTTATCAAGCCCATAACCTGTTGAAGAAATTAATATTATAAATCACATAACCCTCATTATTATATAAACATCTCAATTAATCATATTACTTAATTATCTTTGTAACAGAGAGCTTTTCGTATCATAAAGCGTATGTTATGAATTTTAAATGCAATTCAATACACCGACGTCGATTTATAAAAATTAAAAAAGTAAAAAATTCATTAATTTAAAATATAAATATAAGTATTTTCTTATTGCATAAAAAAAATTTATAGAACGAGATTTTCCCCTTTTGCTGACTCTCACACAGCCGAACGTTAATTTCGACGAATTTCATTAGAACAAACGAACTTTACTAATCTGTGGTAATCCGATTAGAAATTTGTCCTGGAGGCACATAGCTGCGAATACGAGCTTGATGTAGTAATCTTTCTCTATCTGACTCTTACCAAGGCTTCTGCACATTTAATGTCTTTTCTCTTGCGCTATTTCTCTTCTTCCTTTCCCCCTCAGTACTGTCCACCTTCGACGTTTGCCTCGAATATTCCCTGTTGACTGAAATTCCGGATCCAACGGCCTATGTCTCTTTGCTGACAAATATTTGTTGGAATTAACTCAATAGACAACTTTGCAAATTCGTTTCTTCATCCCCTTTTAGTTTAAACACCAGAAATACTTTTTTTTTATCTAATACTAAAATTTAAAATTATGAAAATCTGTTAAAATACTTTTCGAATAGTAATCTCAATTTTTTTTCAAATAAAACAAAATGTTAACTCTTAGATTGAAGTTATTTAAATGAAAAAATTTTCGAAAAATTTCTTTTGCCTCATTTCGGTAACTATGTTTTTTTTATTGATTCATTTATGAATTTACGTGATATTCTTTCGATTCTTTGGGAACGTCAACACGATGAATTTCGAAATATACAAACATTTATCTTAATTTGATGAAAACTTTTTGTTGTTACATAATAATCGAAGATCTGATTTAAAAATAATTATTCAATCTCTTTTTGTTTTGTTCCAATTTTTTTTTTTTTTTTTTGAGCAAGTATTTACATTAAAATTTCTATTCTGAAAATAAATTCAATTAATTAAATACTTTTGTTGAAAGTAATTTTTAATTATTTTATTTATTGACCTGATTACTTCTAACATAAATTGAGTGCTCAAGACATACATATTCAGATTTATTAAACTTTTTAATTGGCACACACCAGTTTAAATTATTTCAATTATTATAAATTATAAATTTGACCTTAAAAGACAAAAACCGTCCTTAAAACGACGGAACAAGAAAATTCGATCATACGTTTATGAATATCACATATTTAAATTCAGGTCACTGCGTTATTGAATTCATTAAAAATAACGTTTTTATTAATCAATTAAGATGGTTATTGATTATTTTTATAATTTAATTGGTTGAATTGAATTATTTATAAATATATTTTGCGCACTTAATTTCATTTTTTGATATTCTCTCATACATTTTCCAACAAAAAATTAGATTATTTCAATATTTATTATGTAATTAAATATTTAAACATCAAATGTAATTAGTTTTGTTTTAATAATTGCTAAATAAAAATTATTATAAAATTTTATTAAATTATTCCTGTTGAAAGTCAATTTTTTATTTACCCGGGTCAAAAAATTTAATCTGTTTTACGATTAATAAAATTTTTTAATATTTTTCATTCAATTTAATTTTATTATGTGTATCTATTTTATATGAGAATTTAATCTGTTTTTGCCCGTATTATTCACAATTCAGACCAATTTCAGATCATTTTTAATGTTATAATAAAATTGTTTTCTATTGTTTCAAGACCAAAATCAGACTTTTTTCGTCACAATCATTTAGCTGGTTTTGATCGCATCAAGGTCAAAAACAGACCAAAACGTTCTATAATTTTTAGTCAGTTTTTCATCGCCTGTAGATCAAAAACCGACCTTTTACGAATTTGATAATAATAATAATATTATTAATAATAATAATATATTTATTTATTATTATTTTATTCATGTTCTCGAAGATCCTCTACAGGGCACGGCTTTTCATTCTCTGAAACTGAAATAGTGACCATTCACTATTTCGTAGTGCAATGTATACCAAACGGTACTCTTCGCACTACCAAATAGTGGATACCGCTCATTGAATGATGCGTGAAAGTATGAAATTTAACATTAATCTTGTCAACATTTTAATTTTGTCTCGATGTATTCACATTGTGTTTAATAACGATAATTAGAAAACTCTAGATTTATATCCATAATTAAACGATGAGAACTATTTTATAAACGTATATTAATACAAATTTATTAGTTATCACTGCAACTAATATTCGCAGTTACAAAACTTTCATAATCCATGAAATGTTGAGCTATGACAAATAAATATGACAGATGTAAGATTATAATCGACGTTCAGTTTATAAAACAAGAGAGCGCATGAATATATTATAAAAAAATTTATTTTTTTAAATAAATGCGACTTATAATTTTTAATGAGATACTTTTAAGTCCAAAAAATTATAAGTCACCATCTTAGTCGACTTTTGGCCTTCGAACATTTAGAGTGAAAATTGTAGATCAAAAACAGTATAAGATTTCATATTGAATTTGAAAACAATATATAAAGTCCATCTACAAATTAACTAGACTAAAAACCGATCAAACTTTTAAAACTTTTTAGTTTCATTAGATTAGAAACAGCATAAAATATTCATAGTTGCTCAATTATTTTACTAAAAGGTTATTTAGACTTAAAACAGATCAAAAATAATTTTAATAGTAGATGAAATACCGATAAAAATGTTTTTAAAAGTTCAAATACAGATCAATAAGTTCAAATGCAGATCATTTAGCTTAAAATCAGTTAAAATTTTTCGACTCGGGTAATTTAGTGATTACTTTTATTATTAAATAAGTGTTGAAATGATTAATATTCAGATTTATCGATCCAAAAAAAAAATCTATAATATGACCCCTTATGGACAATTATTATATTAATTATTGTATTAATTATTAAACGACTGGTTGAGTAATTAATTAAACTATTAACTGATGTCAGGTAACACCCCAAACTTAACTTACTTGTGGGGAGATAATTCATCGATCATGCGTCATCTGTCGGATGATTTCAACACCACATTTGCATAAAAAATTACGTATGGATATTTATGACCATATCAAGCCTGAGATGGGTATATCAAGTTAATATCGGGACCTATCAAGCCATATATGACTAATTTTCAGGTTAAGCTTGATATGGGCGATCGAAATATATAAAAAGATATGAGAGTACATCAGATTATCTGTAGACTTGACAGGTCACATCAGAAAATTTCTTCATGGGCTGAAAAAAAAATCAGATGATACCATGAACTTTCTGAAGAGTTATCGTTTTAAATAGTGCAATCAAAAATGACTTTTTCTATATTTTTCTTTGTTGATAATTGCGCGAAAGGAAAATATAAACTTTAATTGCTCTTTTGAGAATATGGTTTGTTTTCACTCAAAGAGAAAGAGTTTCGGTAAGGCTAAAATGAGAAAATAAATAAGTGGAGATGATTAGTGAATGTAGATACATAAGACCCTTGAAAATTCATTTCGGAAAGTCTGCGTTGAGGATGTGGCCGGCAAGTGGAGAGAATATATATCAGACGGTCGTAATACGTTCAGAAAGTGCAGGGAAATAAACTTCTAAAATGAGCCAACTTTGCGTGTGTCTTTATAAGGATTTTAGTTCCGTCGAGTCGAAAGCAATGCACTTTTTATAAATTTTTCAGCCCACGAAAAAAACATTTTCCACAAAATAAAGCCTCACATATTACTAAAGTTGTTTCGGTAAGCACTTTCACGCGAAACTCATTATTTCTAGAGTTATAATTATTACGGAGAGTTAGTTTGTCTTCGAGGTGGAAACATATTATTTTACTCTACAAGCAATTATTCCTATTTGATATACACTAGCTATTATAATAATTATACAATTTTATAACTATAAACAAACTTTAAAATAAATATTTTTTTGTTTTGTTTGTTTCAGGCCAAGTTGTTGGAATCATCCCACGCTTGGCTCGGCGCCTCCACCTCCAATATATCAGGTGAGTTTTCATTATTTTTTCACCCCTCTAAAGATCATCTAATTTTAATTACAATTATTTTAGTCATAATTCATAATTAATATAGCTAATTATTTCTGACTTTTGATATTTTTCCGTAAAGTACTAATAGTAGTTATCAATTTAATCTCAAGTAGAGAGGCAGCAAATTTATTTGATTGACGATTACAATTTTTCCGACTTTCAAATAATCATTAGAATTTTTTGTCCTTGTTTTTGGTTTTTATTTTCATAAATATTATTATTTGCTATAAAATAGTGTTTAGAATTAAAAAATTATATGATAAAAATTTATGAATTTAAATAAAATAATAAAAATTCAATGAGTAAATAATTAAAAGAAGAGTGAGATCAAAAAACATTAATTATGCATTTTATTTAACTAAATAACAAATGAAGCCTCATCAAATTTTTCAATAATTCAATTAGAGATTATAAAAAAATTATTTTTTTTTTTGTTTTGAAACAATTAGAATAATAATCAAGCCATTTATTATTAATAATAGATAAATTTTAATTAGACACCAGGTACCGTGGATAAAATAATAAATTTTTTCGACACTCAAGATATACTAAAGTGTATTCTGTCAATCTTTGTCCGTCAGTACACGTAGATAGACTGTCTAGTTTATTACAACAGAAAATCAATATCACGGATGTAAATGACTGCATAAATGTCAGTAAATGTGTTTATGCATACGTTAAACGTCTCAGCAAACTATCACGACTTAAAAAATTTAATTATATGTACTTCCACCATAAATTTATAATTCACTTTTATTTTTCATGTTAAAACAAAATTTTTTATTTTAAAATATATCGAGTCAACTATTTCAAATAAATGTGTATGAATAAAAGATAAAAAATGAAATGAAAGCGATCTGTGTATTTACCTACTGTATATTGTATTCTATTTATTTCGGAACATAGCAAAGTTTGACAGTGTGATGGTGAGCGTGTGAAAACGCAGTTCACAAACCCACGGATTTTCCGGTATGCCAACAGGTGGCAACTCATGGATTTTCCATCCTTCATTTATAAAACTTCACAAGCGCTTGAATTTTACACCTAACCACTCTCAATTCGTCTCATTTTACACCACTTATACTTCTTCAGACTTTTTTTACATATTTATTCAACTAAATAATTCGGCCAACTTATATTTATCTCTAAGTGTAATGATACTAAAAAAAAAGGTTCTTCAGCAATGGTAATACATATATGAAAACATTTTATATGACTATATAAGAACATATCTTGTTTTATACGACTTTATATGTTTTGAGATAACTTCATACGTCCATATCAGGCCTTATATATGCCCAAATTAAAAAAAAAATTATCTTGATTCAAGTACGAAATTCATGAACCAAAGAATTCATTTTGAAGAACTTCATTGTCTTGAATCAATATGAAAAAATTCTTGAATCAAGTAAAATTTACTTACACAAAGAAATGTTTCTCAATTCAAGAATTTTTTCACTTCAATCAAGACGATGAAAGCTCAAAGGTAATGTTAAAAATCTCCAATAGGGGACGCATGATCACTGAACTGTCTTCTTATGAGAAAGTTGAGTTTGATAAGGTCTAAAAGGAAAAAAATTGTTTTAAATTTCCTACGGAACGTATCTAACATTGATCTATAATTTAATAATGCATTTAGCATATTTTAGTTCAATACGACTTAGTAATTGATGTACACACACATAGAAAAAAAATTAACTTGAATCTAGAAAATCATTTTGAAAAGCTTCTTGGTCTTAATTTCAGTAGAAAAGTCCTTAAACTAAGAAATTTTTCTTGGTTTAAGTAAACTTTATTTGATTCAAGAAAATGAAATTCTTCAAAATTATTTTCTTGGTTCAAGAATTTTTCTCTTGAATCAAATTAATTTTTTTTTTCAGTACATTTAAAAAAAAAAATTAAAAATATGAAAAATGACAAAAAACTGTGTTTTTATTCTCACACGGAAAAAAGAAAACTCGAAAAATTACAGTATAAAATGTAAAATCGGTCCCGTCGTAATCAAAACTAGAAAAATTACAGTTTGAAGTAACATTTTTCTAAATTCAAGTTTTTAATTTAATATTCAGAGCTTTCAATGTGATTCTTATGAAATCTGTAATAATTACAATCTGAAACTGTAATTTTTCCAGTTTTCATCACGAAACGCCACGTTGCATTATAATAGTCTGATTCTGCCATACAAAACCAGATCAAGCAATATCAGGAAATTTTTTCACGGATGTCTCTTAGCTAGGCCTTACAATCCGCAAATATTTCATAAACAATGATTAATAAATCAAAAATAATACCATTAATTTGAGTATAATACATATAAAAAACGTATGATCTCACTCTTCCTTACTCATTCAGTCAAACTAAAAAATTGATTGAATAATTTCATGAAATATTTTTTTTTAAATTTTAAATGGACGAACCGTTTTCTTTTTTTTTTTTACCCACCTTAGACAAAGTCCCCACTGCTCCCTGTATTCTAGCCGACTATTCGAGCCTGCTGAAGCTGAAGGCGCCGACGTGGACGCGACAAGACCTTCAGGACGCAATAGAAGCCGTGGTCACCCAGAAGATGAGATTCACCCAAGCTTCCACGAAATACGGAATACCCAAAGGTACTCTCTACGACAACATACTCGGCAAGTCGAAGAGAATGATGGTGCTCGAAGAAGCTGGACTTGATGCCAATGAAGAGAATGCGGTCCTTGAATTCTGTTGTGACATCACCGTTAGTCCTTACAATAGACGAACCAAAAAATCGTTGAACGCTATTTTAAATTTCGTTGAAAAATTACGCAGGCGTCGTGATCCAGGTTTTATTTTTACCGGATTGTCGGGGTTCAGGTGGTGGTGGGCGTTCTGTAAAAAACATTCCATTGTTTCGCTTTATTTCAATGATGAAAATGATAACGAGTGACGAATATATTCTTATTATTTTTAGTTCTTAATTTTTAAGACTCATTTCTATTAATTAATTGAAATAAAGTGCTTTCAATTGTCTTCCAATTAATTAAAAAAATTTAGAGAGTAATATTTATTGTCATTAAATTTAATTCAAGAAAGTCTGTCAGATAAGTCGATCTGATAAATATTTTATTAAGTTCCAATAAATTCAATTTCATCATACTGTCAATTGATGCAATTAATTTTAGAGATGGTGCTTTTATTCAATTTATTTTTTTATTTGAAGGCCTCTTGTGAAATAACACGAGAGGTAATCAAACAGAGGGCGTTCAATAAAAAAATTATATTTTATATTACAAAAATAAAAAAGTTTCGTTGATGTTTGGAAAATTAATTGTTATAAACACGAAATAATTAAGATCAAATATAAAGTATATAATAAATTTTATTTTTAAAATTTTTTACTTGAATAAATAAAAATTTACTTTGGCCCGAAAGTTTTTAGATAATTTATATTAGATAAGTTCAGTTATGAATTTTTGAATTCATAAAAATTGTATTGTATTTAAAATTTTTTACTGTTTTAAAAAATTAAAAATTTTTTATTTATGAAGTGCCACAATTTTTGTATGAAAGCTCAAGAATACAATTTTATTTCTTAAATGTTGTGAAAAACTCTATAAATTGTTCCGTTTGTCAAAAATTTATGTATTATATAAGATTTATGGATGTAAAAATAAAATTATATTTGAAAGATTTGGTAACTGTTAAAGATCGCAACTCCACATATTTTTGGATCAATAAATCAAACAGTCATAAATTTTTTAATTAAAAAAAAATTAATGCTACCTCTTATTTAAATTTAATTAAGGGAGTATTCTAGTCTAGAAATTTGAAAAAATTGTTAAAAAAACGAACCAAAAATTTTTTTTGATCTATCCGAGGGTGACCTCATAGCGACATCTTTACTACTTAAGAATCTGTTTTGTTTCGGATGACTAGAAGAGTTGAAACTTCGCATACCGGAACATCCCTTTTTTTCGACCCTTCACTTTATCAGCCTATAACTTTCTAAATCTTGAATATTTTTTTTTTTCGTTTAATTTTTTATGTATTCTCAAAATACCAATAAACAAATGTTCTTCGTTTTTGTTTTTACAGAGCTTAAAAGACTAGAATACCCCTTTAAACTTCGATGCTATCTAATTTTTGTAAAAAAAATAAAACATTAAGTGCCTTCTAACAAACAACGAAATTTTACATAAAAACTAAATATCTGAGACAAAGTATATTGGTTATTAATTATACTCATACATTTAAGGAGTTATAAAATAAAAAATAAAATAATTTTGCTAAATTGCAATTGCTATTGAGAATAAGTTAAACTTGCGCATTTAAAAAGTAAAAGATCAATATCAATATTCCATTATTAAAACTTGATAATTTAGAACGAAATTCTGATATTACTATAAAATATTTTTATATTTATGACCTTTGCTCAAAATACAACGTGTAAACGTTTCCATTAGAGGAATTAATATTTTAAAGATGAGATACGATATATTATAACTAGCACACCAAGCAATATAATCAACGAGTATTTATTATAACAAAATAAATATGTCACCATACATCTCAAATACATGACTTTAAAATAACTTGTAAATAAATACGTAATTGTGCTGTTATTTTAGTCTAAGTCAGACTTGTATTACATAAAACCTAAAAATAGCACTAAGCATCAGATATAAATGAAATAAATAAATTAACAAAAAATAAATATATATTGCTCATGGAGGATCAATTAACTAATAATAAAAAATGGTAAACTTCATTTTTATTGGTTATTCCAACAATCATTTGGTCCAAAAATAGACTCTACGTGGCGTATATTTGTGATTTCCAATTAAATGTATTAATCATTAAATTGATGGAGGCTTAATTAGACTCAATAACTAAACTATTAAATAATCGTTGCGAATTGAGGCCATCCTCGAGAGACTAGGAACGGGTGCTTAAGTATTTTCAGAATACTTTTATTTGCTTATATCATTACCATTATAATTAAAATATTAATATTATTATTATTGTTTTATTTAATAATTATGATTAATAGTAGAAATCATTCCAATAGAGTTACTTTTTGATAACCTTTATAGTTATTAATTATTGTAGTTGATAAAAAGACATTCCAATGATTAAGTGTTTGATTGTTTATCGAATTATAGCAATAAATGAATGTATTAATTGATAAGAATTTGAAAACATGAACGATTGTTATTCATATTACAAAGAAAAAGAATTAAAAAATGACTTTTTTTATTTTAACTGTTCACGATTGTATCAAGTTTAAAATATACAATATGCCGTTCTCAATTAATTTATTTAATTACCACAATTCCTGCTATGCTGCCTACTGCCTACTACCTACTGCCTATTTACGTTTTTTTTGTTACAGATAATCGTGATAAATTTATTAAGGTATTATAATTTTTTATTGTTATTTAATGATGAAGGAAATGAAAGAGAATAATTGTTCAATTTAATTTCATTCGATATTAATATTTAAATTAATTTTTTTGTAATAATATTTTAGTACCTTTGAATTATAAACTAATTGAAAAATATCTCCGCGTTTTTTTTGCGGGGAAATTGTTACAGCAGATAGCTATCAGTATCAGCTGCAGTCGCTCTGGCAGAAGTGTTGGAACACTAATTCTGGGCTGGTGCATAATCTGCGCTTTCGTGAACGTGGACCACTTAAGTCATGGAGACCGGAAACTATGGCTGAAGCGATCTTCAGTGTTTTGAAGGAAGGGCTATCGTTAAGTCAAGCTGCAAGGTTAGTTTTCTTAATTGTTATCATTTCTACAGTTTACTTAGAATCGATTTCATTAGAAACTGTACTATTGTATTTGATCTTGATGCACAGTAAAAAATTTTGCGTCATTTCGTCAAAAAATTTTGTGTTAAAAATTTTTGTGTTAAATATTTAACACTTTTTTATGTAAATTTAACATTTATTGTGTTAAATTAACACAAAAAGTGTAAAATTAACACAAAAAAGCGTTGAATATTTAACATAAAATTTTTTGACGCATTGACGCTAAATTTTTTACTGTGTGAACTTTTCTTTAAATTGAAACATTTATAAAAAATTACTGGTATCAATTTGTTAGGATCAATTTAGTCTAGCGACGTTATACGTAACACTTTCGATATAATTACATCTAATAATATCTGATTATGCAAAATTAGGGAAGAATATATTTAGACTTGATCCTTCCAATCTACGAATATGTATTACACGACTCATAATGCAAGGCAGTATCATTATTGGTTGACGAGTCTTTCGTGAGATATTGAAATTCAAAATTTTGAGTAAGGTTACCTTTAAATACAATTTTTAGACTTTCGAAAAGCTCAAAACTGTGCAATGTAAAATTTTTTGAGCTTTTTTGGTTTGAAAAAAAATGTCGGGAAATTCTAAGGATAGCCTGCAGAGTCAGCCATTTTTCAGATTTTTTCTCAATGTGGTCATAATAATTTTTAACAATAAAATACTGTCTGGATTATGGGCTGAATTTCTCAATTGCATCTTTCAAATTATTTTATAAATGAAAAATATTTTTGATTTAATTCTTCAAACCTTAGTGTTGACTTTTAATTAAAAATGAAATGATAAGTGGCGTCATAAATATAAATTTTAACCAAGATTTTCTTAGACTTGTCTGACTTAATCTTGACGCCAAATTTATATAAAATTACAATCGATCGGTTTTTATTAAATCTGTAAGACTTCTATTAGAGTAGAGAAACAGACATCTGATTCAATTTGGATTTGTTTGATTGAAGTTTCTCTGGAACTAAAATTTAAACTTGTTAATTTGAATGAAGCCATTTTCAATAATTCAATATGCATTTCATAAAAAACTATTTATAACAATTCCAGATAACTCTGATTCATCTCTTGATAAAAATTCTGAGAGCTTTCATTAAGAAAATCAATAAAAATTATTTAATATAAATAACACCGAAAAATATAAACAACACTGCTAGATGAAGAAACAAAATGAAAAATTAATTAATTTCATTAAAAAGATTTAACATTAAACATTTCATTACGAGACAATGTAGTTACCAAGTTTCATTTCAACGTACTTTAACTTTTAATAATATCAGAAATAGCTGAAGATATTTAAGTCGATACCGGTCGAATATAAAATATTTAAAACTTAAAGTCACGAAGTACTGATAATTCCTACCGGATATAAAGCTATAAAATTAGATTTGACAATTTAGTAAGCAAGTACTGTTAACGAAAGATTTCAATAGAGCTATGATGAATTATTTAATACACTTCCGAAAATTTTTTCACGTGTTTATAATTTTTAAATCCTATACATTACGATGGAAATCTAAGCATACTTTGGATGTTCATAATTCTAGTCGAGGAAAGTTTAGGTACCATAAAAGATAAATAAATTAAAATAGTAATTGTCGATTTTTTTTTTCAAAAATTGATGAATAAAAACTATTCGATAAATCCATTGTCGGTCGCGTGATTTTTCAACCGACGCACTCGATCTGCTTTTTTATTTTCCGTGTCGGAAATTCAATTTTTAACATTTTTCCGGGACATTTTAAGGCACATTTATTTCACTAAAATTTTCATTATAGCTCAAAAGAAGCATTCTGATTTTGTGAACATTTTTACTTAAAAAAATTGCAAGAAAATAATTTTTTTTTTAATTATTACTTTTGAAAAAAAATAAAAAAATGTTTCTTATATTTTCAGAAAATATGATATTCCATATCCAACATTCGTTCTTTACGCAAATCGAGTGCATAATATGCTTGGACCAAGTTCCGATGGTAGTGCTGGTAAGTATTTTTGGTTAATTAAATGTCAACTATTCAAATATACTTAAAAAAATTCCAAAATAATAATATAAAAAAAAAAAAAAAAAAAAAAAAAAAGAACAATACTCATAAATGCAAATGCTTTTAAAAAGAAAAGAAAGATAATAATTGCATTTCGCAAAATCTGGGTGGTAGTATCTGAGACGAAGTTGGTACGCGTTTAGATTTAGTTGCGCTCGTAAAAGATGCAATTACACCATACTGAAGCTCATTTGCCGGATGCATTAGGGGCCTCTATTTCTCGTAGTTACACTATTTGACGGCCATTGTGTTTACATATACCTCTATAATTTGATATTTCATTGTTTTAGCGTACGGAGAGACGTTTAATAATCATTATATCAATATTGCTACTAATGTTCTACAGAACTTTGTTTAAATCTGCAGTACTTCGTCAATGTATTTGTTTGTCATTTTCGTAAAGTTCAATTCGACTCAATATTTATCAGTTTTTGCGTCTTTTTATTTTGTTAGAAGAAAAGTTGTCGCTTATTCTTAATCAAATAATTATCATTTAAGCATTCATTTGTTTATTTTCTTATCTGGAGTAAAAAAATTAACAATCGTTATACTTGTTATTATAATTTTTGTGATTTTTAATAAGCATTTAATTCTTTTTAATGATAAAAATAAGTTCTAAAACTTGTTGAAAAATTTGTCTTGACTTTCTGTTAATTCTAATTTGTAACTATAATGACATTAAATTATTTTGGATTACCAACAAATAAACTCTTTGTAAAAGAATTTTTTTTATTGCAGATATTGATTTATTGATTTTATATTATTAGATAATTTTGATTGCGACATCTTTTACGCTTACATAAGGTCAAAGAAACGGTTACTATTCTTTCCCATTAACATACATTTTTTCAGATTTTTTAATCAAAAATAATAAATTTTATGATTGAAAGCGTAATTTTAGATATCTTAAATTTTAAAACACTACTCATATTTTACTTGAAATTCTTTCTTTATTTAGGAATTAGTAATTCACTATTGAAACTGTTAAGTCAACATTAGAATTTTCTGGAGATGTATTTTATGATTAATGAACAAATTTTTTTTAACAATTGTCGATGATAAAAATTATACTGTAAATTAGTAAAAGGCAAAATTCATAAACGAGCTGGGGAATATTTCAGTCCGGGGAAATATCTGGGAAATGTATACTCATAAAAAAGTTTACTTGATTTAAGAAAAAAAATCTTGAGCCAAGAAATTACTCTTGAACTAAATTATTCTTGATACTGAACAGTACATTTAACTATAAACTTTTTACAAAATCTTGCTACTACCAGAAATTTAAATGTTATTCCACAGTACCTTTTTTCGTGATAAAATTAAATATTGCTTGTATAAATATTTTTTCTACCATGACGCTACTTGATAGTCTTGTCTCTTAGTCTTAAAAATAGTATTTTATATTTCTAATAATTTTTTTTTTTTAATTACTAGATCTCCGGCCGAAAGGAAGGGGCCGACCTCAAAGGATTCTTTTGGGTGTTTGGCCGGACGAGCATATCCGGGGTGTGATTAGAGCGGTGGTATTTCGCGACGGAAATATTGTGAAAGAGGAACCAACCCCGTTATATCCAAGTCTAGCGAATTATGCGTGCAATGGACCAGAGGGCGCGGTAAGCCCTAGCGCTGCTGCGGCTGCTGCGGTTGCCGCGGTCGCCCAAGGTAATTGCTAACGATATTTTATATCTCATCCTCATCACTTTTGGCACCGTAGGTGTTCGATAAACACCCGACTAACTATATAAACATTTTAAATCTAAAATAACAAGGTTTTATTGTCTGTTATCGACTATTTATCATTATTATTTTATTATGTACATGCTTTTTTAAAACTGGGCCAGGATAAAATGTCAAGTCAAATTACTCGGTGTTGAGATTATAAATTTATAAAAATAAAAAGGAGATAAAAATAAATTCTAGCAAAATTATTTGTAGTCCGTCATTAAAAAATCACGATATCATCGATTGCCCTTATTTTTCCTTCTTTATAAATAAAAATCTCTTTAATTATTTGCATATGCCGTATCCTTAATTTATAAAACACACTTTTAGTTGATCTTAATTTTTTTACACGGAGAGAAAAATATGGAGATCATTCCTATAATTTTAATGAAATATTTTCGTATACCATTTTAGAAGCGATTACTTAAATTATGGGAATTATACCCATAATTTTTGGGAAACGTTACTATAATTATGGGAATGGTTCCTATAATTATAGGAACGATACCTATAATTATAACTGTAATATCGGCATGATTCCCATAATATATAGGAATGGTTCCCATAATATATAGGAATGGTTCCTATAATATATAGGAATAGTTTCCATAATATTATAGGAACCATTCCTATAATATTATGGGAATCATTCCCATAATATTATAGGAATGATGCCATTAATATTGGAATAATTTTTTTTCACACCACTGTGGTATTTAATTAATTACTTTTCACTAGATTTAAACCATTCCTATAATATTATAGGAACCATTCCTATAATATTATAGGAACCATTCCTATAATATTATAGGAACCATTCCTATAATATTATAGGAACCATTCCTATAATATTATAGGAACCATTCCTATAATATTATAGGAACCATTCCTATAATATTATAGGAACCATTCCTATAATATTATAGGAACCATTCCTATAATATTATAGGAACCATTCCTATAATATTATAGGAACCATTCCTATAATATTATAGGAACCATTCCTATAATATTATAGGAACCATTCCTATAATATTATAGGAACCATTCCTATAATATTATAGGAACCATTCCTATAATATTATAGGAACCATTCCTATAATATTATAGGAACCATTCCTATAATATTATAGGAACCATTCCTATAATATTATAGGAACCATTCCTATAATATTATAGGAACCATTCCTATAATATTATAGGAACCATTCCTATAATATTATAGGAACCATTCCTATAATATTATAGGAACCATTATTCCCATAATATATTGAAGCTATTCCATTATTGTATAGGACGTTTCCAATAAATTATGGGTATGGTTCCCATAATGAGTATAGGATTAATGCCTATAATGATAATTTTATTATAGGATCCATTCCCATAATTGTTGGAGAGATTCCTATAAATTTCTCTCCGTGTAGTTGAATTTTCCCGTTAATTTCTTTCTCTATAATTGCTTTATTCATTTTATAAACCGCCAAATGTCAACCCATTTTTTATTATTATAAATAACCTTGAATTTTTTTTTATTTCATGAAATTATGAATGAATTTTTTTTAACTTTTTGCGTTACAAATTATAATCATTTTTAGAGAAAAATGCTTGTATCAAGTAAAATTTGCTTAAACGAAAAAAATTTCTTAATTTAAAAATTTTTTTTACCTAGCTTTTATATTTTAGATCTTCGAGTTTAAAATTCAAATTTCTTAAAATTTGGTTTTAAAATTCATAAAAAAAATTTTTTTTTCATTAAATGTTCATTACAGAAATTGCATTTATTGAATTTTTCATGTGCATTTATTTGTCAATGGCAACTGAACTCAATAAGAAGCATAACGACGTAAAACAAAACAGAACGTGTTCCTGAAGCAAAAAGAGCAAAAGAAAACAATATAATTTTTTTAAAGCCGTAAGATGGACAGTGGAGTATAAGATACATCTAAGGTTTAAAAGTTCAATAATTCTCATGTTTTCACACTTTTAGATCAGGAGAAATTCACTGAAAAAAAAGCTTGAATTTCATTTCTAAAAATAATATATTTTTTAGGGTGTATAAAAAAATTTTTTTTGCTCCAATTGACTCAGGAATGTTAAAAATGTAAAAATTTACTGAAAAAATAAAAAATCAATTTTTTCTGGAGAAACTCCTTTTGCTTTGAGAAAAAAATTATTTGAAAGTAAAAATGGCATATATCAAAATTTTGATTTTTATTCTCTAATTTTGCGCGTTAGAGGTCAAACGTTTTGAATTTTTGAATATGAAAATTGAAAGTTTTTGATAATTCGAGAAATTATTAAATTCCCAAAAGTGAAGCTTTTGTCAAGTCTCCACATTTTGGCATCTCAAGAGTCTATTTCAAAAAATTTTCAATTTTAATAACCGTAGATGTTCAAAACGTTCAATTTTTTATTTGAAAAATTGGAAAAAAAATAATTTTTTTTTCTTATTACAATCTTTTTGTTTTAAAAATTTTTCTTCCTTAAGGGGTTAGGTGGGTTTCAAAGGTTCAAATGAAGGGTATTTTTACTATTTTTTTTTTTTAGTATATACAATCATATACATATTTTATTTAAACAATTCAGCATATCAAAGATACACATTGAAATAGTATTGTGTGAAATTTTCATTTAAAAATTCTGAAAACTCAGCCGTTGGTACCTCATCTCCCTTGAAGTCTCAAAAAAAAAAAAATGCTCTTGCCGTGGACAGCATAACTCATTATTGGTTCATCTAAAATCAAAGATCCAAACATATTTCGTTAGTACATGGATAATTCTCGTCATGGGACGAAGGAAAATAAAAAAAATAAAAATTTGAATTTTTGACAGACTTTGAACAAAAAAACACATTTTTTGGTCAAATTTTCGCCATGTATTTGCTCGAAAAAATTAGTGATAATAAAAAAAAAAAATCCTTCGTCCAATAACGAGATTTATCCATGTTCTAACGAAATATGTTTAGTTGTTTGATTTTAGATAAACTAATAATGAGTTGTGTACTCAACGGCTGAGTTTTCCAAATTTTTAAATGAAAAATTTCACAAAATACTGTTTAAATATGTATCTTTGATATGCTTAATTGTTTAAATAAAATATATGATTGTATATACTAAAAAAATGAAAATAGTAAAAATACCCTTTTTTTTGAACCTCTGAAACCCACCTAACCCCTTAAAGCAAGGAGAACATATTACAAAAAAATTTTTATTTTTCATTTTTTCAGTCAGTTTTCTTGTTTCTAAAATTCTTGAGTTGATTGAAGCAAAAAAAGTTTTCTTCATTCTCCCTTTTTGCTTTAGAAACGCGTCAACAACGACAATAAAACCTTGAAACCAAATAAAACAAACCAATAAAGTGACTATTTTGTGAATGAAACTAATAAATAAAAAAAATTTTAGGTCTCCGACACCAGATGTGCAGTATGGTAGCGGCTGCCCAGTCTCATCCTCACGATATGGTAGCAACGAATCTTTCGGCAAACTTCCAGGCGGCCGTGCAAGTCAGTCAACATCACTTAAACAATAATAGCGGAGCAAGTAATAACAATAACAGCAATAACAACAGAAATTCACCTTTGATGCTCGGACTACCAAGCCCGGGGTCAGGGGGACCACCAGAAAGTCCAATGGAAGGGAGTCCATTGGCGAGTCCACTGGCACCTTTGATGGATCCAGCTCACATACCCAGTAGTGTTGAGGTAGGGATCGGTATCGGGGGATTGGGCGGACTTGGAGGACTCGGTGCAATAAGTGGGATGCATTATAAGCCACAACGTAGTTTCATGAGCCCACGACCTGAAAATATCTTCCAAGAAGACATTGCTGATTTGGTTAAAAGTCAACACGGGCACAAAGACAAAGACAAAGTCCCGGTTAAACTTGAACCACTCACTGATTCTCGTAGTGAACAGTAATTTTACTTAAACTATATTATTATTATTATTATTATTATTAATTAATTAATTAAATAAATAATTAATTAATTAAATAAGCAATAAAAGTAAACTTTTGTTGTTTTTTGCTAAATATTCCATCAATCTCGACGACTCAATGATTTATACTAGAGTGATTGATATTAAATGTCAGACTAGCTTGTTTTTAAAATAATAAAACATTTAATGTTTATTTTTTAAAACGTAAACGCTGTGAGTCAAGTTACACATTTTAAAACAAATGGTGATAAAATATTGTCATTGTTGTAAAAACGGGCCTTGATTAACAAAATTAAAATAAACCTCGAAAATATTAATAACAATTAAGAAAGTGTATAATCAAAAATGGGAGCGAGTCTTGTAAAAATTTATTGTCTCGTCCGAGTGTTGAAAACGTTTTTACGTATCTCTCTTATATTTAAAAGTAAACAATTAATTTTCTGTAAAATATTAACAATTATTATTATAATTATAAATATATACATATTAAAAAGTAATTTATTTATTATTATTATTATTATCTTTTAATTATTTTAGTCAATATATTGTGGACTTAAATGTGCGCCAAAATTAAAGTGATCGTGGTTTTAGAGAATAATTAATAATAAACAATCGGAAGTAATAAATAAATAAATGAAATTTTTATTAATAAATTAGATTGGTCAAGTAAGTGATAGAAAAACATTTCGAGTTAAACTTATAAACTAGCTAACACGTAATTGATATGTATGCATATTATATATGTTAATGCCAAATGTATAATAGTTGAATAAGAATCGGTTGCATGTTATAGTGGAGAATTTTCAAATAAAATAAATAAAAAAATCATTAATAAAAAACAATAGTAATAAAATAACATAATAAAACTAATAATTATAATAATAATGTAATGATAATACAATTATTTATATAATAATGAAATTATCACAGCCTTTTGCAAGATAAAAAAAAAGTTAAGAAAGGATTTAAATAATATGATGTGAGATAATTGAGGTACAAGTTTATCCTTTGAGTTACGTGTGTCGGAATTACTTATATATATATATATATATATATATATATATATATATATTAATATTAATATTAAATTTAATTGATGAACGGAGTTGGTTTATAAATTAATTTTGCATACAATGATGGTGAATATATTTAACGCAATGACATTGCCTGCAATTTTCTAGTCATAAAATCTTAATGAATTATTGTACACATTGTAATTCGACACGCGCAGCTCTAGATTTTAAAACAATTAATTTTTTTATTATTTACTGTTAGTTATTACTTTTATTTTTTTAACGTTAAATTTATTTAAATAAAATCCAACTTTATTATTTTTTTATTTGCTTAATTTTGTAAAATTGTTTTATTGTAAATTATAATAATGCCAGTATCTCACTTGCTACTTGTATTACTACAGAAAAAAATGTACAAAATTTGTCACTGTCTTGGAAAGAGAGGAAAATAAATTCAAGGTTGTTCTCTGACGGTCACTCTTTACTTTTTAATAAGTCTAAAAAATCACAAGTACTATATTGTGTTGTAATTTTATAAATTATAATAAAACTATCATGTGAATTTTAATTAAAATTACTTATGTTGATTATCGACTAACAATTAAATAAAATTTAATTAGTAAACTTGAAAGTCGAAATGTCGAATTTTAACATTAAGATCGATTTTTTTATGTCATTGTAGGGTTTAATGACAAGAATTATAAATAATTTTTTATAAACTCGATTAATATTAAAAAGTATGGAGCGCTATCAGAGAATTCCAGGGAAAAAGACTATATTTTTATCATATGCAATCAGATCTGATCATAAATGATTCAATTATATGGTCAGATGTAATATATGATCATATGTAAAGAATATCTCATCATATTTAATCATACATGAACTAGGCGTAATCATTGTTCACATAAGAACAATATATGATCAAATCTGAGTATTTATGAATAAATATATATTAATTTTTCTATACTGGAATGCCTTTAATAATTATAATTGATTGAAAATTGCGGTGCGAAAAAAAAAAAACATTTTAGATGAAAATATAATTATTTAAGTGTAATAAATTGCCTTCCTGCCATATTTGGGGTATGCCAAGTATAAAATTTATAAGGTTTAGAAAATAAATAAATAAATAAATAAAAGAAACTAAAATTAAAAATAAATAAAAATTTAGACTGGATCTTTGATGACTAAAGATAATACTTGAAGATTGTAGGTATGAATGATTATTTATGATTAAAAATGATTGTGATTAGATGTGAATGTTTTATCTTAATATGTATTAATGAATATTTATTTATTAACTGATAATTAATATTTGGCATTTTTTTGTTACTTAATAAAGTTATTTTTAAAATAAAATAGATTGTGCTATTTTTCAAAATTGATACTGTACGTTATTTCGGTCAAGGGACCTTTTTTAGGATTTTCGATCACTCGGATATTTAATGCTATCGAACGGTCTGACAATTCTGAAAAAAAAAAAAAAAAAAAAAAATAAACAAATAAATTTCTAGTATGTTAGAAAAAATTCGAAGTGGCCTTTCAAAAAAAAAAAAAAAAAAAATTGTAAATTACAAAATAAGAAAACAAATCTCAAAGAGAAACTTGTTTTTGGCTTTCCCATTTGTGTCTAGGAATTGAAAAGAAAGTTCTCGCGCGCTTCGGTCGTTTAAATATTTTCTTAAATCATTAATTACTTGATATTACTCCAGTATTTTTGTTCTTATACTGGACTAATATTAATAAATTAAAAATTAAATAAATTAAAAACAAATTTTTGGATATAAAAAAAATTAAAAATTCGTTCCAATTAGCACAGTTGGTAATTAATATTTAACAAAAAAAATATTCTTGATACAAAAGTTTTTGTGCGAAAAAAATTCAAAAAAAAAAAATAATGTAAAACGTAATTATTAAAATTAACATTACTTACCAAAAGTGCGAAGGAGACGTTCTTTGTTACGTATAAATTAAAGAAGAAAAAAAAAAGTTATCCACTGGCTACCGATCTCCTTCATTGAAAAAAATTGTATACGTACCATTTCTTACTTCCGGTAATATTTGCTAAAAATTAACGGAAAGACGTGATTCATACTTAAAATTTTCACTATTGAAGCTTAAATGTGTTCATATAAAAGCTAACTGCGACATAAATATGAAGTAATTGCATGCTTTGAGAGGTTGATTACTGGGATGAAATATAAAAAAATTTCGAGAGAGTGAGAGAGAGGATAAATGAACTATATGACTCATATGTGATCGTATTGGAACATATATGATCATATATGAACAATATTTGTGAGACCGAGCGAGCGAGTGTGCGGCAGATGTATGTGAGCGTATGGTTGAAAAAAAAAAAAAGAAAATACTAAATCAATAAAATAATATATTAAAAAAATAAAAAAAAAAGTAGTAAGTGCCTTCCAAAAAAAATTAAAGAGTCCCGTAGATCGTGACCAGTAAGCGAAATAATTCGATAATTTCGTGTTAATCGTGTATTATTAAAATTGAGATGAAAAAGTCTTTAAAATAATAAATAATGAAAATCCAAATCACAATACGCCGTTTGAATAATTATTAACAATAGTATGTGTGGGTTGTATTGAGAGTGTATGTACAGTTGACTAAGTGAAATAGAGCTCGTAAAAATGTTATTTTATTATTTTGAACGTCTTGATGCTTTACTATTTAAATAATATGATAATTGATAATGATAATAAATAAATGAAGAAAATGAAACAATAACAAGTAAATGAAATTCCGTTTGGATAAATCCACAACCGGTAATACCCTGAATGGCATGTCTGTAGGAAGATCAATTTTTATTTATTGAAACAGTTTTTAGGGGGACGATATTTAAATATAATGATTGAATATTATAAGCGAGAATCGTGAACAAAAATTATTAAAAGAAAAATAAAATAATAATTATTATGATTACTGATGATTAACTCATAAAAGTAACAAAAGTAATCGCTCGTTTTCACATTTTGATATAATTGTGAACAGAATAAACTTAAAAAGACAAAAGATACCTATATTACATACCTAAATTTTAAGTGACAAAAAATAAGTATATAGTAATGCTGATAATGATATAGTACATGAAATAAATAAAATATATAAAGGATATATATTATATATAAATTGATGATATGATATTGATATGTGTTTATCGATATTTATTGCTGAGAAAATATCAGAGCATTTTTATTATTTATTTTTTAGGTTTTTTTTTCTACTACATCAAAAAAATTGTAATTAAAGTTTTTTTTTTAATTATTAAGACTTTTAATAGAATAGCGCATAAAACCGACTTTTTCTAGTCTCTAAAGATCAGCTCAATGAAAAATTTTATTAGGGTTCGCTCAAGATTTTAAAAAATTTTGAAAATCATAAAAAACTTAATTTTTTTCTCTCTTCATATGTTTTCTATTTTTGTTAAAAATTATGCACATTTTTAAAATTTATAAGTCGAAATTTCTGTTTCTCTTAGAAGTTTATACAAATCATGATAAACTAACATGTTTTCATATGAGGCTCGAAAAATTATAAATTCGGTTTTTAGCGTCACTCTACTTTTCAATAAAGAAAAGTAAAAAATTTTATTTACATTAATGCTGAAAACTTAAATGATTACTTTTGGCTGAAAAATGTATTAAAATAAATGATAGTAACAAGTGAGAAATGCACAATAATAATAATAATGAACAGAGGAAACAATTAAACACAATAGTGTGTGAGAATATTGAATGAAAATATGAAAAATAAAAATTACTCGCTTACTTTTTCCCCCGCTATAATAAATTAAAACTGATAGAAAACTCGTGTAGAAAAACGAAAAACAAAAAGATAATTACTGCAAATAAACATCCTAGTTTTACTTAATTAATTAAAAAACACTATAGTAATATTTCAGTAGTATAAATTCGCATATGTTCTGATATATCATGTATTTAATAATTTTTAGAACTCTGAATTTAAATTAAAGTTATAAAAGACGAAAAATTTATTTTTTAATGCACAATAAATTAATTTTTTTTTTAGTTAAATTATTGTTTCTAAAAAGACTAAAATCGACAGAAAATTAAATGTGTCAGTTGTAAATAAATTTTAAAAAGACGCAGTAACGCCGATTTTGAAATTGTATTATTGATTGTATTTGTTATTATTATTATTATTATTATTATTATTTTTTTTTTTTTTATAATAAGAAAAAAGATATTCTAATGCTTAACTATTAATAGTAAAGCTATTATTTAAGCATTGAATCTCGAGTTTACTTTTGTAATTGTTAACATTTATTTCTATACATATAAATATATTTATTTACAAAAAAAAAAATCTCGTCGAGAGAGCTCCGTTGCGTGATCATATTTTTTTCAATAACAAAACGAATCTGAAAAAAAAAAAAGGTAAAATAAAATAATAATGATAATTGTGTTTAGAAATTCAAGTGAATTTCGATCTCACAAAGAAGCTCTCAGTATTATTATAAATAGTATAGTTTTTAACAACTTCATTTTATTATTTGTTTATTAATTAATCAAATAATTAATTTTATAATAATAATGATAATAATAGTGAATAAAAAAATAATGGTTATTATTATTATAAAATCTCGTTTATTTTTTTTATGAATATAATTAATTAATAAATCAAAACGAGAATAATTACGTTTGCGTAGATAGATAAATTTGTTATTCAAATTGTTAGCGTGTAATTTCTGACTGGATAAGATGATGTGACTCCGGAACTTGTCGATGTTTTTACATTTTAAAAAATGATAACTTTAAAAAAAAAATAACAATAAAATATAAACAAAAATGATAAATGGTTAATATTTTTTTTTATTTATTTTCTTAAAAATGTACGGTTGGTAATTAGAATAATTATTATAATTGTAATTAATAATATTAAAATAAAAGTAATTAAGTTATAACAAAACGCACATGCTGACAACTAGGTCCGCTTGTTCCTCCTGCTGTTGATTGCATTATATTTTTTTGTTTTATTTATTATATCATCCGATACGAGATAGCTGTTAAGAATTACATTCTACCGAAATATGCTAATTACTTATAAATACAGCTATATATATTATTGATAATTGACGTAAGCATTAAATTACCAATTTTTATCCGTTATTTGTACGGATAAATAATAAATATTAATTATTTAAAACAAATAAAAAAGTAAAAAAACAAATAATTATGGAATAAAAATACAAAACAGAATCACGCAATCATACATTTAAGTTGCTACTTGGCACGTATACCTAAGTAATATACTAACATAAACAATATGCAATAATAATAAATATGAGAAAGAAATGACATTTTTTTTTATTATTTCATTTATTTCCTATTTATAAATATATATATATATGTAAAAAAAAAACCCTTTTACCGTATCCTAAATAAAAATTTAAACAAATCAAAAAAAATTTCTACTAAATTATTAATTATCCATTATTTTTTTTGGTACTTGGAATAATGTTAAAATTAAGAAAAAAAAAAAATGTTCTGATTAGTCAAATTTTTAAAAAAGTTACGGCTTTTTTTTCATATTCATAATTTTTTTTGGTTGAGTGAAAAAATCTCAAGATTTTCGGGAAATTTTTTTAATGGAGTGTAAAAAAAATTATTTTTCAGACAATAACAAAAAAAAGAAGAGTTTCAAAAATGGTCGACTTGATACGGAATAACTCATTTACATTTTTCAGTTATTAAATTTTCTGTTAAGTAAATAAAATAAAAAACTTGTATAAAATTTTTTTATTTAATATATTTATTACAATTTTACAATAATAACGCGGAAAAATATTCAAATTTACAATAAATAAGACTTTTTTAATTTTATTAAAAATTAACAATTGTGTAATTTTTCAATTAAACAAAACTCAAAATTTTACAGAGTTTTCTTTTTATCAATAAATACTACATAAACAACCAGGAGTTATTTTTTAGACTCTAGTCAATTTGTTTTAAAATTTTTTATTGGATAAAATAATTTAAATTTTTTTTAACAACGGGAAGATACTCTGAACGTATAAAACATTTACGTAAAAAAGATTGGCAAACTGTATTAAAAATGCAAGAATAAATCAGTCTGAGATTGCTAAATCCAACAAGTTTGAAAAATTCATAGTTAAAGAAATTAATTTTATAAAATCAATCAATAATCTAAACTTGGTTAAGTTGTGGCACAGCATTTTGTTGCGGTTGGTTCACGGTATTTTGATTTGTTTGTACGTTTGGTTGCTGGTTGACATTAGTTTGAACATTTGGCTGAGCGTATTGTTGTTGCTGAGGAACTTGACCTTGATGTTGTTGTTGTTGTTGTTGGACGGGTATTTGATTATTTTGGACGTATTGAGGTTGTTGTTGGGATGGAGGTTGTTGATATTGTTGTTGATATTGTTGTTGATACTGTTGTTGAGGAGGTTGTTGCTGATATTGTTGCTGAGGAGGTTGTTGATACTGCTGTTGATGTTGTGGTGGAGGCGGTTGATATTGTTGCTGTTGCGGTGGAGGTTGTTGATATTGTTGTTGCTGTTGTGGCGGCTGTTGGTACTGTTGCTGAGGAACTTGATTATGATCTAGTTGAACTGGTTGCGCTGGGAACTATTCAATAAATAAATAAAAAACAGAATTAATATTCAAAATGAATTAGTATGACATAAAAATAAAAGAATATATATTTTATTGAAAATATTTGAACACTCAAACTGGCAAAATCAGTACTTACTTGATCGTTATGAGCAGCACCGGGCTGTGGTGGTGACTACAAATGATAAAAAAAAAAAGTGCACAAGCGTCATTAAGTATTCTAATAACTAACAATTACATTACATGTTAAAACAAAATATTTAAATAAAAATTCAAGTGATTGAAGATAGCTGAGATATTAATTTACAATTATGTAATAAATAATATTAAATAAAATTTATGAAATATTTTTATTGATTTGTAGATCACTACCTTGTGCTACATTCATAAATAAATATCGAGCAACTACATTCTACACGAATAAATAGTTTAGATAAATCAACTATCTTTTTCTGTACTTTCATGCTATCTAAACACAGTTGTGTATTTTATGGTCGTGGTTTCTGAATACTACAGTGAAATTTGAGTTTTTTGCACTTTCAACACTTTTATTTTTATAAATGATTATTAGATAGAATAGATTTAAATTTTATCGTGTATCACTATAAATAAATGATGAAGAATTTTAAAGTTAATTGAAAAAAACAAGGAAATTTTAAATGCTATGAATAAAAAAAAACTATCAAAAATATGATAATTAAAAATTAATTTACTGTTTGTTTTTTTTTTTTTTTAATTATATCACACAAATTATTCCATTGATTCTTTCTAGGGCTGTACAATTTGGCCGGTTAGGTCGGCTAAAAAAGTTAGCTAAGTTAATTAGCCAGTTAGCTGGCCAGCTTAGCTAATTTAACCGATTAGCCGAATTAGTTTAGCTAATTAGCCAACGGCTCAACCAGTTAGCCTAGCTTAACTCAGCTAATTAGCCAACTGCTAAACCGGTTAAATAGCTAATTTTTTATATGCTTTTTGTTGTATACTGAGGTGCGTATAAGTATTGAAATTAATGTTAACCTCGTTTTTTGGGAAAAAAAATCATGAAGAATAACAGAAAAAACGAGAGTAAAGTAATGGCCTATTAATTAATTAATTTTTTTTTTAAATAGAAAACAGTAATAGAATAATTTATTAAGTGGGTCATTCCATGTCAAATCGACCAATAGTTGGAATCGACCCCTTCCGATTTGGATGAAATTTGGTCACAAGTTGGCTTTTATCATAAAACAAAGTTGTGCCAAAGTAGAAAATTTCAAAAATTTTTTTCGAAAAGTTATGCAAAATTAAAAATTTCACCATTTTCAGGTTTTTAAAATTTATTTTTGTAATATCTCGGAAACTATTATAGTTACAGACATGGGCCAAAGTTCATTTTAAAGGGGATACTTAGGACTATAAAAAAATTTTTTTTTGCGTAAAATTTTTGAAAAATCAAAAAGTGGGAAAATTTTGAAATTTAATTAAATTTAGCTATCTTTTTTAGCCGGTCTAACCGACCAAATTGTACAACCCGAATTCTTTCATAAACAATTTATTAGTATTCTGCTTATTTAGACCAAACTTTATTTAAATAATCATTTATAAAATTTAGAAGAAAAAAAAATGTCACTGAAAAGTACTAAGCCGTGACACACAATTATAAATTTCAATTAAAAATTACACATTAAGTGCTTTTAAAAGTTGCAATAAAAATGAAAACAAAAGATAAATCATGATGTAAAAAAATATGTCTCAGACAGACGCCATTGTGGACTTAGTATTTGTTAATTAAAAAAGAAAATTTTTAATTATTAAAAATAACTATAACTCACCAATCCTTCTACAACTTGTTCTTTAATATCGTGTTCTTTTTTATACGCTTCATATTCTTCTGGAGTGTAAATTTCTTGTTCATCGATTGGTTTCCAACCGGGATCGTTTTCATACTCGTTACGTTTGGTTTGTATCAAGAATTCTTGATAGCTAATAAACAAAAATATTTTGAATAGAAATTGGAACGGCATTAGGATAAAAATAAAAAAAAAATAATAATTACTCAATAAGTCCATTTTTGTCTTGATCAGCTTCGTTGAATATATGTTCTCTCATTCTTTCCATTTCTTCAGCTCTTTCCATCAAATCATCTTCGGCTGCTCCCTGCTCATACATTTTATCCAATTCTTTTCTAAACAAAGCTTTCACTTCGTCTTCATCCCAAACGCCGTTACCATCAAGATCGTGCATAAAGAAGAATGTTTTTGGATCGAAATCTTGACGCTCCATATGATCTTCTTTTTCCCACACTTCTTCTAACTGTTTTTTACTTCCTGGATGATTCAGCTAAAATTAAAGACTTATTCATTAATAATTTTCGTGCAAAAATTTTTTCAACCTAAAAATTGCCAAAAGTAATAAGAAAAATATTTATTTCTGTTTCTTGGCAATGGTAATTACCTAGATAATTGTCATATTTATCTTATTAGTTCAATATGAATTCTGGCCTATTTTAGAAATTATCTCAATTTTAAACTTATTGTATATTTTTTCTCTTCATTGCCTCTACTTTTTTCCTACAATAAAGCTAAAAATTTTTTTTATCTTATAGAATGAAAAAAATTCATGAAATCCGTTTTACTATTTTTTTCTACACATTTTTGCATGAAAATAAAATATTTTGATTAGTTAAATTATTAAGGTAGTTCACTCGGGACATATAGTTTGTGCTATTTTTTTTCTTTTCACTCGCTAGTGCTGCCTTTCTCAGGAGTTATCTCTTATTCGATTTTACTAATGGTTATTTTTGTTTAACTAGCCAGTTTATTAACAATTTATAAAAAACTACATGGTATAAATTTTCAAAATTTCTTTGGGTTATTTTAAGTTTATTATTCTAACAGGTATCAGTTATTTGAAACGATCTTAAAATCCTTTCAATGCAATAACCATTAATATTTGTGACTTTCTCACTCTCCACTCATACTGTCTGTGCTAAAATGTCATTTTTAATTACAATTATCTCATTTTTCGTATGGTCAATTGATTTCAAATTTCAACAGCACATGTAATGCGTATTCGATTAGGGTAAACCTGCCAGTGAATGACCGATTTGTTGCCGGTACTGATAATTTAGCTTATTGTAGTCATAATTAACTTCAAAACTTAACTTGACCGTTTTAATTGTATTCATAAATTATTTTTATTTCGATTTTTATAATAATATTGGCTTCTTTATCTTCGCATATTTTACAAATTTAATAAAATGAGTCTGATTATACAAAACCCAGTGAATGACCGTACTATTCCATTGAATCACCAGGCTCAATCCAGTGAATGACTAATGTGCAAATTTATAAATTACAACTTTAAAATTATTTCTCATAGGGATTTGTTTTACATGAATGACAAACTAATGATTGTTTATAAAACAATAAAATTTTTATTTATTTAGTACTCGGAAAGAAAAATATGGGAACTTTTCCCATAATTTTATGGGAACAGTTCCCAGGAAATTATAGGAACTGTTCCTATAATTATAGGAAATTTTTCCAGAATTATGGGAACATTTCCCATAACGATGGGAATGGTTCCTATAATTATAAGAATGATTCCTATACAATTATAGGAACCATTCCCATAATATTATGGGAAATATTCCCATAATGATATAGTAATGGTTCCTATATCATTATGGAAAGGATTCCTAGAATATTATAGGAATCATTCCTATACCATTATGGGAATCATTCTCAAAATAAATATCTATCATCATAAATTGACTATTGACGAGAATGATATGAAACCTTGGAAAGAAACAAATTAAAGTCATGTCCTTTGCAATGACACTAAATTTCACTAGAAAAATCGATTTCATCATGTGACTATTCAGGAGACAAAATTGTTCTTATTCTCTTAATAATGTAAATTATTATTGATGTTGTTTTAACTATTATTGACTACCACATGAAAATCATGTTGCTGTCACATGAAAGTCATGTATCTTCCACAGGAATGTATCATGTGGTAGCCCCAATGATTCCTATAGCATTATGGGAACCATTCCCATAATATTATAGGAATAGTTCCCATAATATTATGGGATTAGTTCCCATAATGGTATAGGAATAGCTCCCATAATTTTCTTTCCGTGTACAATGAAAATAAATCAAGCACATTCAACATATTTACTTTAAATTAAAGTATCCATAAACTTAACATATAATTGACATTTAAAAAGTTTTCATGTATATGAATAATTTTTTACTCTATCACATTTAATCTGTTATCACATATTATGCAAGTGTTTAAGATAATACAGCAAAATAAACGTACGGTCATTCACTGGTAGTAGCAAATATCGAACTTACCAATAAATGACTAGTCAGTCATTTACTAGCAAAGCACACATCAAATAAGCCAGTGAATGACCGACGCTAAATTAATATAAATAAATTATTAAGTTAAATTATATCCATCATAGGTTAATTTTAATATTAGTTTATCTACACAAATGTCTATAAATTTTGTATTTTGGACAAAAAGTAATTATCTATAACTAAAATTCACAGTTTTCTAAGTAGCCGTTTTCACAGAGTTTTGTCAAAATTTTATAGTTTTCTAGAAGTTCTCGGATTCTCGATATAATTTTTATGAATTTTGAAAATACACTTTTAACTTATTTTAATTCGTGGATATTAAATATTGAAAAATATATGTAAGATTACAATTATGATTGAACATTGACAGTTAACTAAATTTTTGGATTTTTATAATCATTATTTTCATTACCGGTCATTCATTGGCGGGCGGTCACGGACTGGACGGTTTACCCTACCCATATTTCAAATTTCGAAAACTTTTTAAAATTTTGCATTTATGACCAAACTACCTTAAATCATAATTGCTTAGAAATATGAATTTGAGCATGAAATATATAATGAAATAAAATTTCTTTTGCACGTATAAATGTTTTTTATATAGAAAGTTAAAATTTATCTATTGTACCGGTTCATGTTGCTTGTGTTTTTCTTTCTGTTTTTCAAGCTCTTCAGCATATTTTTTTCTCTCTTCTTCTGGTAATTCTAAAATAAATAAAAAAAAAAAGTTGAATGATTTGAAAAAAATTTTTAATTTAATGATATAATGCAATATTCATAAAGTACAAGTATATTTATTACCTTTCAATTTATGTTCTTCTTCCAGCTTTTTGTTCATTTCATATTCCTTGAATCGTTCTCGGCGTTCTTTATCTTGTTTTGTTATATCCTCGGTTGTCTATAAATAAATAAATAAATAATAATTACAGGTGATGAAAAAAATAAATTATAATTAATGCTTACTTTGAGAATTAGTTTTCTTAAATCTTCTATTTCAAAAGTATTAAGATTATACTCGTCTAAATGTCCAGTATCAATAGTAATATTATTTGTTAATTCATATTCTTTCGTTGCAAGATGCCTAAGTCTTTCAACTTCAACTCTTTTAATTTCGTGTAATTTGTCCCTTATATTGTGATCAAGGAATCTCAATTCTTTAGCTATTTCAGCGGTCTGTAAAATATTTAATTAATTTATTATTGATTATTAATTATTTGAATTTAAATTATTGTTACAAGTTTTGTTTAAAAAAATTTTACCTGAAGTTCTTCTTGAGTAACGTTTCTCATTTTCTTTCTAAACTCTGGATCCGACTCCAATACCTCAACAACTTGCTCCAAGTAATGTTGATAAAATAGATCAGGCTGCAAATATAAAATTATTCATTAAAATTTCTGTAAAAGAACAAATCTATGCTGCAATCAGCTTTTTTTTAGTTGATTAAAAAAAGTTTGGAAAATCCAAATGAGCATGCCTTAAGCGCTCATGTCATACATAAATTATTTAGATCATAACGAAAATTATTCGTTTTTAATTTGAATTTTCCCGCGAGTAGTATCCCTAGCGGTTTTGTAAATGCCGAAAAAATGTGGGTAGCATCGATTTATCATAAAAGCTAGTTTCTTTCAGTCTGAAAATATATCTGGTACATATTGTTCCCCCTAGTATTTTATAGCAAATAGTATTAAATACAGTCGCACTTAGTTCGAACGTTAATTTCAGGTAGGCAGGTTTTCAGTTGGCAACATTTTGATACAGTTCAATTTTAATCCAAACAACTGTTGAATTACAACAACAATATCACCAGCAACATTTATGCTCTACTAACTTAATACCATTAACTTTTTGAATCAACATATAATTCTGCCACATAATAATTATGCCCTACATTATACGTTACTCTATCCCTTTAGATTTGTCATATAAATTACCAGCCAGTTATTATTTCAGAAATACTTTAATGCTTGTTCTAATTAGAGCGCATTTATTTTAAGTTACTCTCTTTATAAACGACTCAGATTTAATATCTAAACAAAATTTATCCAGCAATAATTCAATGCACAACAATTTTAAGCCAACTATAAAATGTTGCCTGCATCTTTCATTACAGTGCATTTTTAGTCCTCACATATTTCTTTCCGTCATGAGTTCACTGCACCACGAGTATAGCTCAAGCTTACTTTGTACCAAATCACAGAACTGATATCGACTGATGTAATTTTACCTTTTTTGTCGGTAAAGTAGGTTTATAATGGTAACTCTAGTAGTAATAAAGTAAAGATCTGAGAGCTGTATAAAAAATAAAACTATTCAACTTTAAGAGGAATTATATCAATTTAAAAATGTAATTCATCATATTCAAGAACATTATACTAATAAATAAATAATAATTAGCTGTGACTATTGATACGGATATACGGATAAATGATATATGATTATTTTTCCGGATATACATATATTTTAATATTTTATTTGTCGGACGATTAGCGTTTAAATTAGCAGTTGAATTTATTCAGCCGGAAATTTTTTTTTATCATTTTCGTAAAATGGAAGAATAAATTTTATTACAAAATATAAATACATTAATTAATCTATACAATTGAAATTTTCATTTTATTTTTTTAATATTTTACTTCTCCTACGTTTATTCGTCCAGAAAGTTTTTTTTATAATTTATGTGAAATATAACAATAATATTTATTATAAAATATAAGTAAAATTATCAATCTATACAATAAAAAATTTCTATTTATGATTTTTCAAATCTTGTATTTTTCCTGGGCTACCAATGATTTCCAAGCACATTTTGGAATTTACCTGAAATAAGTACAAAGTGTTAATTATTTCTGAATAAATTACAAATATAAAATTAAATTATAAGATCTTAAATAAAAAGGTAAGTGAAAAAAATGATTTAATTACAGTCGTACTTGTTCATAAAAATTTTTAAAGGTCAGTAATTTATAAAACTATTACGTAAAAATAGTTGATATAATTTTCATAGACGTTCAATTTATATTGAGCCCTTTTTTAACGAAAAATAAACTAATGAAATTGTAATTTAACGCTAATAAACTGAAGTTATTTTTAATTTTAAATTTATACTAGTTTAATTATTTTAATACTTTTTCATATGTAATTAAAAAAATTTGTTATCCTGTCAACCTGTCATAAAAATTTTTTCGATTAAAATATACATTTAATTAAAATAATCATCGTTACAACGAAGATCAATTAATAATGGGTAATTAATAAAATAATTAATGAAAAATATACAATTATTTACAGTTTAAAAATTTAATTTTTCATATTAATTAATAATTTCTAATAGATTATGACAGGGCAGATGAAAATTCTTATGACGAAGAAATTGCAAGCGAAGGAAAGGGAGATGAAGACAAGGAAAATAACGTTGTTGTAGATGACGCGGATGATGGTGACCTGGATGGAGAAACTGGAGATAATAAAAATACATCAAAAATAGCCGATAAATTTGAGTCATATGAAAAATTAAAAGATGTAGGAAAATTAAAAAAAAAAAAATCGAACGAGGTTTACTTTTATTGTGATTCTGTGACGATTTCTCAAGCTCACAAAAAAGAAATAAAAAAAAATATTAACGAATGTTTAAAATACTACAGTATTAAATATATTTGTGTCCATGATGAGAAAAATTTTTAATCAAAAGGATTTTTTTAAATCAAAAAAATTTTAAGTCAAAAGGAATAAGAAAATCATTAACATTTCAAAAAAAATGCCCCGCATATTTCAAAATCGGAATAATCGACAATGGAATTTGTCTTATCATTAATGATATAAAGAACAAGCATATCCACGACACAAATGGCTACCAAACGAGTATAGTGATCCTGTTAAATGATTTGGACAACTGTAAAGCGAAAAAACGAACAAAAAATTTATTGGTTCCTACTCTTGAAAAGATAGAAGAAAAATTCAAAGCTCAATGGTTCCTTTACAAAAAACAAGACATAATTGCTGGGTTGCTTTTCGTAACGTAATTCATGAGAATTTCAATGAATTCTTATCCTGAATTCCTTGGACTTGATCCTACCTTCAAATTATTAAATATCCGTGCTCCAGTTTATTTGATGATAGTTGAAGAATCCAATGGATGTTCCGAAGTTGTCGGAGTTTGCATTCTAGTTTCTGAGGATAGAGAATCAATCAACTGGATGATGGCTTCTTTTAAAAAAGCTCTTCCGAAATGGAGCTATGTAAAGTGCGTCATGACCGATAAAGATACCTATGAACAATCCCTTACTCCCAATTTCGTATATATCCTCTTCAGACAATACTTCAACAAATACGACTAATGTTAGTAAAAAAAAGAAAAATATTAGAAAAGATCATCATTCAACCGGCGATAAAAAATCGAGGGAGACCGAAAGGCTTCAAACAAACGGTAATTGCTTTAAAAAAAAATTAAAAATAACAGACCGTTTTATCAAAAATCGTCGTATAAAAAATCAAAAATTTTATTAAATTGGTTTTTTCATAGCAGCTGTTATTCTAGAATAATGGAGAAACTATTGAATTCAAATTATTTCATTAGAGAAGAAGAAGTAGAAACTATTCTCCTGAAAGTTTCATCAGCTGTTCTCGATGAGCTGGTTGAAATTAATTAAATTAAAAAACATTGCACGATAAAAGTTTGGAAGTTAATTAACCCTTTAGAGTCTGACCTTGAAACCCCACTCTTGGGTCTTACTATGGATTTGCCCTCTCCCCACTACTCTCACGCGAAGACGTTTCAAGATCCTCTGACTCTAAAGGGTTAAACAATTGTATTTTGAGAAAAGAAAATCACCGGAGTAGGAGTGTCCTTCATGTAAAAGAAATTTAGATGAAACTGTCGATGAAGAATCAAAATATAAAACAAAAATTTATTGTAACTACTGCTGTCAATGGTTCCATTTCAATTGTGCAGGGTTTAAACGCTGTCCTCGTAAAACTCTTTGGATGTGTCATCACAGTGAAGATAGTTTACCTGCAGAAAATAATTTATTAAATTTAAGGTAAAGTACCTAGTAGCTACTCAGGAACCAGTACCTGCCAACTCTGTGTATTTGTATATTTATATTCACAAATGCAGATATACGACTAGATGAAGTGAGTAAGTACTGATTCCTAAGCAGCTACTGGATACTTTTAGTTTAATAGAAAAATTACAAAATTTAATAACTATCTATAAATATAATTACAATCGGTGCCTGCTATCAACACTGTAGAAATTTTTACACTTACACCAAAACTTTGTACATCCTTTTTGCATGAAGAATAAATTACTTAATTTAATATATAGCTCCTATACCTTTGGATAAATAATTTCCTGTGTTGGTCCATTTAACTCTGTTAATAATGAAATTCATAATTAAAATTTCGTTGCAATAAAAATTTGTTATGAAAAACATCAATTGTGATTATTGTGACACTTACTTTTAGCACTGCTTTTTTACAAATTTAACTAACAGAATATAAAAATCACCGAAGAACGATTTGATGTATATTTAATAATCTATATTTTTTTAATTATTATTAATTATACATTACATAAACCGAAGAATCAACTCTTCATCGTTAGAGCAATGAATAAACCAAAATAAAATATCATGATCAAGGTTAACTTAATAAGTTGAGTGATATTGCATCCACTGATCAGATGTACCAGCAGAAGGTAGTTTAGGTTTGCCGGATGACTCCAGTTTAATCCTTTTTTTTCTTCGGTAAATAATTAGTTGGCATCTTAAATGCGTCGTCAAAAGGATTCCCAGCATCGGTTTCAACTGAAAAATACCACAAATATTATTATTAAAGTTAAAGTTTCTTGTCAGTAATTTTTATATATTATTTTACCAACTTATATTAGCACATATAGAGTCATTTTCTTTACCAATAACTGCTTGACTAAATGTTTGACATTCTTGAAGCTCAGAATATTTGTCAATAGTTGGCGTAGTACAAGCAGCAGTAGAAACAGTTGTAATAGCAGATGTACTGTCAAGAAAATCTAAAAAAAAAAAAAAAATTTTTATTCTTAAATCCATATCAAGTATGAAGGATTGTTTTTTAATTTGCTTACAAACCTGTTTGATTATCAGCATCCAAAACATTTGATTCAAATATTAATTCATCACCAATGTTATGTTCCAAAACATCAGATAAATTTAATAAATTTAAATTCTTACTTTGATCAGTACCTGACTGAGCTTGAGAGACAATTTCTATAGGTTTATTATCTACTTTAAATTCGTATAATACTTCAGAAGATGCTGATGTGTCTATTTCAGGATTAGTTATCAAAGGAAGAAACTCTTCATTAAAAGAATGACTATGATCGTTAAGATTCATATCAGTGTTATTATTATCATTCGGAGTAGAGGCTTGATCATTAATTAAATTATTTACGGGTTGTTCTTGTCTTACTATGTTTAAATTTTAATTTACCAACGTCACTTCTTTGACAGTTGGTTTACTTTTTTCATGAGAACCTATATACCAAATTATAAAAATTATACCAAAAAATTTATAAAATAAAAATATCAATTTTAATATCTATAAAAAAAATCAACATAGAAAAATTAATTCATTAAAAAAATAGCTATTTATAACAATTTTAATGTATACCGCAAAAATAATGATTAAAATAAGATGTTATTAATTTCTTTACCAGATCTTTCACTGACATCAAGCCGGTATTTATACAAGCTTGTAATTTCTAGATCCTTGGGCAATGTCTGATTTAACCAAGCAGTATTAAATTCTTTCAAAATATTCTTTGATAAATTGGTTTCGAAGGTTAATAGATGTTTTTCCTTATCTTCTGTTACTTCATCTTGTACATTTTCTTTAGTTACTGTTGTTTTAGATTTCTTTCTTTTATCAAATACATCATAGTCAACGGCAGAAGGATCGAAAGGATACAAGCCTGCAGCTTTGAATCCACTGATAACAGCATTTTTTTCTTGTGCCGTAGCATCCAATGCAAACTTTAGAACTAATGGAAAATCTTCTTTTTTTACTCGGGAAACATTTTTAGAATTTTTCCATCTTGGTACAGATTTTTTCCATGTCTCTTTAAATGGGTGAAAAAAACTAATGTCAAGTGGTTGCATTATATGAGTTGAGTTGGGAACAAGTCCAATCAACTCAATACCCTTTTCACGCCAAAATGTAAGCAGAGGCATAGTCATATGTGATGAATGATTATCCAAATGTAACACGATTGGAAACTGAGTTCCTTGTTTCACTAGCCATGGGTAAAATATATTTGTTATATATTCATAGAATGACTGAGGTCATCCACCCATTATCTGAGAGTCCAACACCCCAAACTTCAGGACAATTTTTGACAATTTTCTCTGGTACTTCTTCTTTATAAGGAAACATGATCATAGGAGGTGCACGATCACCATTAGCACTATACATAAACAATACAGTAAATCCTTCTTTATCAGAATCAACCACCTTATATGCAGAACGGGATCCTTTAGCTAACAATACTTTTTCAGATAAAGGGCATAAACTTACATAAGTCTCGTCACAGTTGAAAATTCTCGTAGAAGGAATCTCCATTAATTTTTTTTTCAGTTAAATACTTAACTTGTTCATCAAAGCAATCTTTCAGGTCATCACCGGTCACTGCTGCTCTACTATGAGTCAGATATTGTGGTTTCCTGATTGACATTTGAGGGTGTCATTTTCGAAAGCCCTCATACCAATGTCGGCTAGGCCGACTATCAATAAACGGAGTTTCTTTTTTTGACTTTTCACATATTGTTGAATAGAATCTAAGAGCTCTGTTTTAGTTACTGGTAAACCACGCTGAGCTCTAAAAAGAATCCAGTCAACTATTTTTTGTTCTTCGGTATCCGAAAAAAACAGTTGCTGGTCCAGTTTTTTGTTTGGATATTTCAGGGTTCGCTTTTTTTCTTGAGAGTGTAGCTATGGGAACTCCGTACACTGCAGCAGCTTTTCTCAGTGAAACACCTGTGTCGACAGCTTTCAAAGCATTAGCTAAATCATCAGGAGAATAATTTATACGCGTAGATTTATTTTTTTTTGAAACCTTCTTGCACGTGTTAACTAAGACAACAGCCGTTTTTGGAGCCTTGGAACTGTTGTTTACACTTAGATTCACAGATTTAATTTTATTTTTTTTGCTTGATTTATTTTTTTTGCTTGATTTATTTTTTTGGCATTTTTTTGTAGTTTTTCCCATATTTACGCAATTTAAATTCTTATCTGAAATAAAAAATTATTGATTTTATTAACTTAAACAATATTTATTATCCAACTTACAGATTTTAGAGGTTAGTTTTTAATTTTGACAGAATTTTCAAATTTAAGTACTTACCTAATACAAATTTATAGAAATATACACTGTAGTAACATTTATCTGACATAAACTGCTTTTTTTATAAGTAATTAATAATTATTAACACAAAATTAAATAAATAATGCTCTCACGAGTCACTGTTTCATAATTACGGACCACATTAAAAAATGATCGTACGTGGGACATGGAACACGGAATATACTGTTCCATAAATACGGACTATTAAAGAATTTTTGTACCTATTATGAAACACTTAAAATAAAAGTAAATACTTTATTAAACAACCTAAAATTCATTATCAATAGGAAGATAATAAGCAAAACTTTTAGTTGACATGTTTCAAGTATTATTTAATCATTGATATATTTCTCAAAAACTTGAAATAATTGCATTGACACACGTGACTATTTTACTCCAAAAAACAGTTTTTTTTTCATGCAACCTGACGCGGGCATTCAATATATTTTTTTTTCTCGAAATTTTATAGTATTCATGAAAATAAATTAATTTAATCAATATATTAGTAAATTAACAATCATAAATATTATTTTATAAGTACCAAATAAGTTAAAAATTATTTGTTCTAGAGATTTTTATCGAATGTTTCATAAACCAGGACAGTGTTCCATAATATGGACTTTTTACCTTAAATGCTTAGTAAAAAAAAACGTGTAGTGAAGGAGTAAGAGTGCCATCCTAAAACCTTTCTTGTAAATTGGCCCATGCAAGAAAAAGTTACAATTTCATTCTCATGTTGGATCAACTAATGTATACAAACTATCTTTCACCCTACACAAAATATTTTTCATACTCAAATACTTATGATAATTAATTCGGTAACGATTTTTTTTTAATAATTTTTCATTTCCGGACGAATAAAAATAAGTTTTTCATCCGTTTACTGGAAGAATAAAAATATATAATCCGTCCATCGATAAAAGGAAAATATTAATTTACAGTATAAATAATCACTGCAAAAATTTTTATGAAGATATTAAAATATCTTATTTAATATCTTATTATTTTTAATTAGTTATTAATTTCCGAACGATCTAAAATATTTAATTAATACAGTTACTAGAAAAATATATCAAATTTATACATATGGTTGACGGATGAATAGACGCAGCCATAATAATTTTTTTTTTAAATTACTCATCTTTCATAAGATTTGAAAATTTTGTATGGAATTCTGTTGTACAATATTGTGTGTATCAATAAACTTCTAAACGTGAAGAATTTAATGAATAAATTGTAAGTTTTCGGAATTTTCATTTGATTGAAAGGAGATATTTTTAGTTATCACACGTTTCGTTGAATCAAATTATAGTATGAAAATAATCTAATATTCTGAAAGTCTCATCAATTACTTATCGTTTAAAAACAAATTGTCAAGCTTTTTCATAAATATTGAATATTGTTTTAGTTATTTCTAACGATCAACTTTACTCGTAATGCATTTTAAATTTATAAAAAAAAAATAAATTTAGAATATATTATAAAAGTAATTTATTTAAATAATGAATATAGATATTGATTTATTTTATAAAATCTTCATTAAATTGAAATGTTTGATTATAACGAACATAAATGTTAAGATGATTTTTTTTTAACTAAAATTTTTAATTTAACTTCAAATCGTTTGAGCATTATAAATTATTAAAGTACCGAATTAATCGGTTTCAAACACTTAAAATTATTAAAATAATATAAATTAAAAAAGCAGTTTGAAGTTTAACTGTTTTCGAGTTGTATTAATCTTTTCTTAAATCTTCCATGATTTCGACGGCACTCTGACACAAAATACAGGTAAATATTTCTCCAGTTCTAATTGCTTCGTCGTGCCATTTTTTATTACAAGACCTGCAATACGGTGCGTGAGTGCAAGGCTTGTAACCAATTTCGATACCATCTTCATAACATCCCAAACAGTGCTGACTGTAAATATACCATTGATCTTCTTCTTCTTCGTCAAAAGTATCATTGGGCTCATCATCAATGGGCTCACCGTCAGAATTAATTGATTCTGAAATCAAATAACGGTATATGATAATATCCTGTGCTCTCACATTTTTTTTGAAGTTATACTTCTTTAGGCGCGTTATGAAAAATTTATGAGAGTAAAATTTTACGATGCGCGCGCACCGTGACACAAAATTAACAGAATGAAGTTGGCCACAGAATAGAATTAAAAGTATATATTTTTTTAAATGACTAAGTTAACTCATATACAGGTTAGTTGCAAAGTATCCAACGAAACGTTGTTATTTTCAAATTCGATAGAAATACCATTTAATATGAAATATATTATTCACATTAATAATCAATTCTAAAAAATGGTCAATTAAATATTTTAGTTTTTATTTAACTTGATAATAATTTTCTTTTAATCAATATTTTTCCAAAAATAATAGTAAATTTATGAATTAAAATATTTAAACTAAAATATAAAATAATAAAACCTATTTGATTGTTTTTAACATTTTTCTTTGATCATTTTTGTATTTTTTTTTCTTTAAATTTTTTTTTATTATATGCCAAAGAAGTATAACTTCTGACGCGTGTACATAAGTACACACACCATTTTTTTTT